TTCCGTTGGTTCACCCCCCAAATGGACGCCATAGCCAGCGCACTGCACTGATCTGAAGCCAGGAGCCAAGTGCTTCCTCCTGGTCTCCCATGGGGTGCAGGGCCCAAGTACATGGGCCATCCTCCACTGCAGAGAGCTGGACTGGAAGAGGAGCAACTGGGACAGAATCTGGCGCCCCGACCGGGACTAGAACCTGGGGTGCCGGCGCTGCAGGCGGAGGATTAGCCTAGTGAACCGCGGCATCAGCCAGAGATACCATTTAATGATCTGCCTTGTAACCAACTTTTTCAATGAACTGACCTACCTGATTATTACCTAAGAGGGCTTCTCTGAACTTCTAGCACCTGTGTGGTCTCTCTGAAACGAACCATACTAGAGGAGAAAGAAATTCTGTTTTTCAAATACAACCGCCATTCCATCTGTCTGAGAAATGGGGACCAAGCACAGCACCAGAACTATGGTGCAAAAGTTGGAACATAAAGCAATCTGTCTTCAAGGAACTTGCAGCTGAATGGGGCTTGGATAAACACACCAGTGCCAAAAAGGTAAGATCGCAAAGAAAGCAGGTGGCACGCCCCATGCAGGGCTGGGAGGCAAGGGAGCAGGGTGTTTGGCAGAGGAGAAGCTGGAAGGTGGACGAGGCAGCTCAAGGGGAGGTGGGGTGGGAACAGGTTCTCTTTCTTCATTGTTGTAACTTTTTTCCTGTCCTCTTTCCTTCCCCATTCAGGCAACCCTAACCATGATGGTAGGACAGTCTGGAAACACAGAAGGAAAAATCAACAGATGGGGTCCCCATGGGCAAGGTCCCAGGAGACACAGAAGGGGCGGGGAGAAAGACAGCAAGTGGACAGGAGCGGCAGACCTATGGAGTCGGATATCGATTCTACCCCAGGGGGTTAAAAATCAAGATTGTGAAGCTAAGAGGCGAGCAGCAGCGGGAATACACCAGGTTAATCCTGTCTTCTGATAACCGCTAGGAGTGGTAGGTGGGGGCAGGTGGCTTGAACTTCGGAGGTGCTGGGGATGGGAAGCCGTGAGAGGTTAGCATGGGAGTTCCAGGCTGTGCTGTCTGGGATACTGCCTCCTGGCCAAAGTCTCAAATAATTACAAGTCTGAAAAGTTCAAACCTGTCACTTCATCACCCGCCAAGGGGAGAGGCGTGCCCTGGGTGTGGGAAAGAGCTCGCTGCCGAGTGCTGCCAGGGACAGCAAAGGCCCAGCTCTGCCTCCTCAAGAGGCACCCCATACCTGCCACCCAAATGGTGCATCACTAGGGTCTTCCCAACCTCATGGCCCTGGGCAGGGCTTTGGCCAATGGCAGCCATTCTGGAAAGAGTGGTTCATTGCTGAAGGGAAACGGAGATTAAGCAATGAGCCTGACCAGACGTCACGGGGCGTGGGCACAGATGCACACCCGAGTGCACACACACTCACTCAGGTGTGCACACACAGCCAGCCCAGTGCACCCTGGCCTCTGGCCTTCCCCTGGACACAACGAAGAGAAGGAATAAATCAAAACCTACCGTCATTCCTGACTCGACTCTGGGCAATAGTTACTTGCAAGCTCAGATTACTCATCCAAGTGATGCTTTTAAAAACCACTTTTTTAAAAAACACTTTTATGGGGCAGGTGTTTAGCCTGGCGGGAAGGACACCAGGTAAGATGTCCATATCTCGTATCAGAGTTCTTGGGATCAATTCCTGGCTGAGGCTCCCGACTCCAGCTTCCTGCCAATGCAGACCCCACTAACGCAGGCAGCAAGAATGGCTCAAGTAACTGGGTTCCTGCCACCCACAGAGGACACCTGGAGCGAGTTCTTGGCTTCAGCTGGCTTTGTCCCAGTCCCAGCCATTACAGACATTTGGGGTGGGAGTGGTGAGCCAGTGAGTGAAAACACGTGCTCGCTCACTCGCTCTAGGGCTTAATCAGTTTTCTTCAATCTTTATCAACAGAAAGGCAGCATTTCTGTTCCATTAACAAACCTGAACTATCCCGAGTTCTGTGCTGCTCCGGGTGCCGGATGTGCGCCTCGCCGGAGGAGCTGCAGATCATTAGGGTTCAGGTCTCCTTCCTGACACGGGAAGCCCCTGGAGGCACTCAGGCCAGCACAGACTTAGCTGAGCAAAGTGGAGGACACCTCCCACGCCAGGTGAAGAAGCCATCAGCCCCACTAAGCACCCCCCCCAGCCTTTTAGGCCAGGGAGGCGTTTTAAGCTTTACCAAGTGCTATCTGCCAAACAGTGAGACATCAACAACTCTCTATGCTGCCGGGGAATGTTTAAAACATTGATGTCTGTCCACATACACGTGGCTATCAAGTGCACACACGTGTAGGCGATTCAGGGATGCGCACCCCCAGGGTACACTCGTTCTCGCAGCAGAGGTTTCTTGGAATCCACCATCCAAGCCTCCAACGGCCGGCCCACAGCAGCTCTGCTTCCTGCTTCCCTGCAGAGAGCCTAATTAATAAACTTTCCCTTAATTGAGTTCTGACTGCCAAGTCCACAGGGATTATTACTCATATATAAGTAAACAACATTTCCATTTTAAACAACACTTCAAATCTTCTCATTACATTTTAAACAAATATAAATTCACCCAAGTCAAGCAAGCAGGAGACAGGGGTGGGGATTGGGGGGTGGGATTCTGGCCTGGAGCCCCCCTTCGTGGGGACACAGGGTGCTCGGGCCGGCAGGAGGCGCCCCCAGATCTTTCTCAGCCTTAGCCGCAGTAGCCTGGACTCCCCCCTCCCTTCTTTGTTCCCATCTTCCAATACATTAGAAAGTAACTCAAAGAGCTTTTGGAAGCCATTAATGGTATTTGCCTTTCCCTTTAACCTGAATCTATTATTTAAAAGCAACTCTCTCCTACAATTTAAAAAAAGAAGACGAGTTTGATGTTAAAAATTTAATAAGTGCCCAGGATTCTTAAGTACTGGTTTGGGATGGATCGCTGGGGTTAGGGAATGTCCTAACCTGAACCTCTGTGCAAGCTGAACTCCAGGTTCTTACATGTGAAGTCCTTTAATTAAATGACTCCTTGCTCTTGAGCTTTCTTCCTTCTCTCAGATTCCAAACTAAACGCAGAGCCACGAACTGAAAAATCGAGAAACTGTAACACAGCCTTGTTAGGTTGAGAGCCTACGGGACAGGACGGGATGAGACAGGGTGGGAGAAGGAAGATGAGGGGTGATCCCACCTCTGGGTTCTTCTGTTCACTGCCATTTGGGTCCCATTTGGCTCAAGTTTCGGGTCTTTTGTGAGTGACCCTTTGCTGAAAGTACAAGGTCCCACAGCAGGCTCTGATTGCTGTCATTATTTTTATTGACAGCTGCTTAGAAGAAGGAAATAAACATTTTCCCAGACCCTCACATGCGCACTGCTCAGACGTCACCCAGAAGGAAGAGCGAGGCCAGGATTTAAAGCCAGCTCCCAGACCGTGAGGAGAAAGTGCATGAAATTCCGTCGTGGGTTTAAAGGTCTGGATCTGGATCGGCTCACCCCGGGCCTAATCCCTTGTTTCCTTCTGTAAGGATGTTATTCTAAACAGAAGCACTCCACACAGTGCGAAGTCTCACATTCAACAAAGTCAGCTCATCCCTGACCACACCTTCCTCGCCAGCACGGGCTGTCCGGAGAGATCTGAGCTTCTGCCGCTGGTGCCCAAATCTGGGGACTCAAGTCTCCACTGCTAGGGCAGCAAGCTCCAGCCCCACCTGAGGGTGCTTTCCTGTAGTTCTGGGGGGTGGGGCTGGGGGCGGGGCCAGGGCGCCAGGCCCAGCCACAACTAGAGGAGCAGGCGGCAGCACACAGGGCTCTTAGATGTATTATGCAAATGAAAGAAGCCAGGCACACAGGGCCACGCAGGCACCACATGAGTCTAGGGCTATGATCTCCTGGATGAATGCAAAGCCGGCAGGATGAAAAGTCAGATCAGTGGTTGTCAGAGGGCTAGGGGTGGAGGGAGGGGCTGATGCCAAGGGACAAGAGGGAATGTCATATGGTGATGGCGCTGTCCTGTGCCTCCTCAGCGGTGACAGTTACATAACTGGATAGATTCCCCAAATCCTGCTAAAGACACAAAAGGAGCCTGTCCACACATGCCTGTTGAGTGTCTTAATTCCAGGCTTCATCTAGAACACGTGTGTTGATTGCCGCCGGCTTATATCAATTGGCTTTATAATTTCCAGGCCAGGGTTAACCTCCTAACTCAAGAGCTGGCTTGTTTTTCCTGCATCCGGTGTCCTTGGGACCACCCCTCAAGAAGCCCTGGGGCCAGCTGTCTGTTTTGAAAGCCCCACACGGCAGACGTGGAATGAGGCCCTGAAGGCCACAGCAGGCTGGCCCAGGCCCAAGGCCCACAACTTACCTTAAAAAGTCCCCCTGGGTCTCCCCTGAGACACCTGGCTGGGCATTGGAATGCCAGCGCTGGGCTGGGAGCAGACTCTATGTGAAAGACAGAGGATGGAGAACTGCACCAAGGCCCGGGGCCGCCTTTGGCCAACAGCCAAGAGGGGACTGATAATGGCCGTGTGAGGGTCCCGGCGGTGCAGCTGGCTCCCAGGGCAGGAACGGAGCCGGGGCCTTCACAGTGAAACCCCCCGATGGCCACGACCAGAGGGAGGCAGCCAGAGTCCAGATCTGATTTACGGGCTGTTTGGACAACATGACTGTTTCTTGTGGGTCCATAAAACGGACTCAAGCTAATGGTTAGTGGCGGATCGCCACTACGTGTTGGGTCTGTCCCGATGAGCACCTTTATGGTTTGGGAACAGAAAGATTCTGTGCTGTTTTTCTTCGTCGGTTTGTCCTTGCACATTCCCACGGCCACCACACTTGTAAATTATCTTTTCCATAGCAGACCTTCTGCCTCGAACACTTGGGAAGTCAGCTTGAGCTCGGGCTTTACAATTACCTCGAATTGCAAACCCCTGAGCTCCAAGGAAAGGTCAGGGCTCCCCGGATCCCGATGAGGAGGGGCGGGACGAGACGCCGACTTACTTCCGCCTTTCCCGCTCTTCTCCATCCGGTACTGGTAGATGTGCAGGGTGAAGAGCATGTGGGAGTTTCGGTGGTCGTCCTCCTCGCAGTCCTGCTGGCTGCTCCGCCGGGAGGCGATGGCGGCATCCAGGAAGAAGGCGGCTTTCTCTGCGGTGGGGGCCCGCAGCTCGCTCTGGTTCTGCAGCTGAAAGAGAGAAGCCGAGAGTGAGGCTGCAGCTCCAGGAGGCCGTGCCTGTCACTCATGCCCAGGGTGGGGCGGGGGAGGGAGGTGGGGTTCATGGCTCCATCCGGCCGGCCACGTGCAAAAGCCACATGCCCCTCGATGGCTGAAAGCGGGTCCTGCGCTCACGCCCAGTTCCCAGCTTAATTGATTCATTTCTAAGAATTAACACCGAGCATGCTTCTTGGATGCAACCCGTTTTTACCCATTTTACAACTTAAGGAGAATGAGTAAATAGCAGGTGTGAAAAACAAATGGTCATATGGGAGTGGGCAGTGGGAGCAGATGGTTTGTTCTGATCTCCACAGCGGACAGCAAACCACCACTCCTAGGAAAACACGAGGCTGTGACTGCACCCTGAGCTCAGAGGTCAGGTTGTTTGGAGACAACGAGACTTGTGAAGCATGCTTTTTGATCTGACAGCACTGCAGGAGCCCAAAGAAGTAAAACAACTTGGTTAGGTCTCACTTGCCTCGTGACTTTTCAGATCCGGAAGCTAATATCAGGTTGCATCTACTATTTTCATCGTAAACTAGAAAATGCACAAGGCACTGAACCACGCAAGATACCTGGCTATCTCATTTGTATCTTAGATCGGTTTTTAACTTCAGTTTACGAATTCATGATCACACACACTAAGTGATTAAAGAGCGCGTGCTGGCCTTGGTGTCCACAAGCTGGGACAGCTGCAGTAAACCTGAATCCTAAAGCTTACCAATGGGACCAGCACTTGTTTTGTTTGTTTGTTTGTTTGGTTTTTATTTTGGTGGCAGAGGGAGGTAAGGGAAAAAAGGAAACTCATCTTTCTAATTGATCCAGAGAACTGATGAAGAGGACTTGAGGTTGGTAGAAACTCTGACCATTTTTTGATTTTGTATTTTTTTTTTGACAGGCAGAGTGGACAGTGAGAGAGAGAGACAGAGAGAAAGGTCTTCCTTTTGCCATTGGTTCACCCTCCAATGGCCGCCGTGGCCGGTGTGCTGCGGCCGGCACACCGCACTGATCCGAAGGCAGGAGCCAGGTGCTTCTCCTGGTCTCCCATGGGGTGCAGGGCCCAAGCACTTGGGCCATCCTCCACTGCCTTCCCGGCCACAGCAGAGAGCTGGCCTGGAAGAGGGGCAACCGGGACAGAATCCGGCGCCCTGACCGGGACTAGAACCTGGTGTGCCGGCGCCGCAAGGTGGAGGATTAGCCTATTGAGCCGCGGCGCCAGCCAACTCTGACCATTTTTAACTCTGTATCTATGATTTTGAACTTGAGAACCAATATTTGGAACCTGAGGCAAGCGAAGGCTTGAACTTTAAAGAAAAAACTATTGGGTTCATGGTTTTGTACTTGCTACAGAAAAGTAAACCAAAGAAGTTGAAAGATTTCTCCAGAAGAAGAATTAGACAATATTATGCTTTTTTCTTCCTGGCCTTCGGCTCACCAGATCTTTCACGCAGTGGACCTGGGCAAATGGGGTCATGAACGTGAATGGAGGTACAAGCTTATTTGAATGTCTGGGTAACGCTTGGGACAGGAGTGACGGCAGGGCGCCACCGATTCCAGCACAGGTGCTGTGGAGGCTCCGTCTGAGCACGTCTTGGGCTTTAGAACATCAGTTCTCAAGGTGCGATCCATGGTCAGCAACACCAGCCTCACATATGCACTTGTTGGAGATGCCTAGGAGGGGACCACCCCAGACCTGCTGAGTCAGAAACACTAGAGGTGCAGCCCAGCCATCAGGCTCTTCACAAGTCTTCCAGCTGACCCTGGTACAGACTAACGAGGATTCACTATGGAAATGGCAGGGGCAGGGCATGATCAGGTGTGAGCAGGTGACACGCCCGAGGCCAGGAGGGCAAACAGTCCCAGGTGCTTTTCTGACAGACACCTGTGTAAAACTGGTGGCATCTGGGGAAACCAGAGAACAAAGCCGCCTGCTTAGACAGGGAGAACGGATTGTTGTGGATATGAGCGAGGGAGCCCCGAGTGCCTCTGGCTGCCACTGTCACACAGCAAGGCGGACACCCTCGAAACAGGCGCAGCATCCCGCACAGGCAAACTGCAGCTTCTCTTGGCTTCCATGGGCCTAGCAATTATATCATGGTTCTAATTAGAAAGTGGTTATTAGTTTCTCCTATAGCACTGCTAATATGGTTGTAAACCAGTGCCAGAAACCCAGTTTATAGAGCCATAAACAGCCCCAGTAACGGCCACAGCTATTTGTGCGGAGCACTAAATATTTCGGTTTGTTGTTAAACAAAAGAAAGATTGTACTCTTTTTTTTTTTTTTTTTAAGGAGCATAAAGAAAGTGAATTCAATTCCCTCCCAAATGCTCCAACAATTGTGGTTCCTGCTCACTGTCAATTAGATTCAAGGTACAAATATTTAGGTTGGGCGAGCAGATGGCCCCGCAGCTGCAGGCCATAAAGCTCCAGTCCACTTTAAAGTAAACACTCGCCAGCCTCCTGGTTTACACGGGGAGTGATTCACGGGCTGCTCTGCCCTCACCCTGGGGGGCTGAGCTGAGCCAGCTCGGGGCCCACCGAGCTCCACAAGCAGTCACCTGCGTGCCGCAGATGGGGTCCTCGCAGAGGTACACGCCTGGGGACTGGCCGTCCTGCAGGCTGCCCGTGGCCACCTCGGACAGCAGGTCCCGGAGGTTCTCCTCCTTGCCCCACACCTCCACGGCTGAGATCCGGACAGAGAAACGGGCTCCGGTCTTCTCCTTCCGTTCATTGATGAGCTTGAAGAGCCAGGAGATGGCACAGGGGATGATGCCGAGATTCTGCATGGAGTCATCCTTTCCGATCATGGTGTAGGATTTTCCTGCACGAGCAGGGGGAGGAAGAAGATCAACGTGAGGCCCAGGCAACCCTCTCTGAAGCCTCAAAAGCAGACGCCAAGGACACAGAGGAAGAGCATGGGAAAGTGGGGGAAAGGCGAGGAAAACGGTAAGCAACTGACAAGGCCAAAAAAAAAAAAAAAAAAAGGCATGACCGATTAAATGGCTGTAATAAAGAATGCAAGAGCCCAAATGACAAGATTCCGTCGGCGTGTTCCGGGCTACCCAGTCTCTGCGCTGTTTCACACAGAGTCGGAAGGCAGGCACTTCTGAGCACTACTGAGGTTCTTCTTATAGCCACCGTACAGATTAAACCGTCACACTCACACTTTATACCCTTCCTCCGGTTAAACGCTGTGCATATCTTTATAGCAAGAGCAAACTCCATTAAAATCAGGATCTGCTTTGATCTGAGATCCAGATGAGATGGGGAAGACACAGAGTTAGAGAGAGAGAGCGTGGGCTCCCCAGCCTGGCTGAGCACTGGCCTCTGTGCCCTCCAAGGCCCTGTATGGGTCTCTGCCTGGGGACACATACCAGAGCTCCCCAAGTGACCAACTTACCAAGTGCCTAAGGCAAGGCCTGGCGAGCAGATGGCCACAGGTCAGGGTTGAGAAGGCACTACAGGAGGAGTCAAGTAAAAACCGTCGTGGGGGTGTTCCCCTGCCTTCCTTCCTGGGCACTTCAGCTCGCGAACATTCTGGCAACTTCTAGAAACAAGGTTGCTTCTAGACATTTCCTGACATGGTTCTGGGCTTTGCTTGGAGGTGGCTCCTCTGGCTTTTCTGGGGATACAGGGGCCCTGTCTGCTTCCCAAGCCTTCCCTGCTGAGGAAATGTACATCTTCCCGCTGCCTTGTGTGTCTGACTCCAGCCTGGGCTGTGTGGGAACAGCGCTGCCACCCCCTTGTTCATCTCTGTGGCCTTCCAAGTCTTTTCTGCACCAAGCACCTATGTTTCAAAAGCCGAAATGGTGGTCTGTGGTCTTTCAGTCGAGCAGCCAGGGGACACTAACCTTGCCTTTGACCGGCGGGCACTGGGAACCATTCCACAAGCATGGGTGGGGCCCAAGGAAACCCAAGCAGAGCCAGACTGTCACTCACCCAGCTTGGCATGGCCGAAACAGAACACACAGCCGTCGGCTCCGTTGACCACAGACTGGATCACCTCTGCCACGGTTCCGGCACACACTTCAGCCTGCAGACGCGAGGGGAGACGTGAGTGGGGAACGGACCACAGGACTGAGGCACGGTTAAGCGACATTAACAGTGAGTCTGGCTGCTGGGCTGCAGGATCCCAGCTCTGTGTCCCGAATGTCACTGCTTTCCTGGATGGGCTAGCCTCTACCACGGAGCTCTGGGGGAGCTCGCGACCCCTGGGGACCTCCCAGCCCTGGCAAATCTGAGCACCACACACGCTAAGTGCAAATCAGCTAACTGCTAATTCATGGGACCGGGCAGGAGCAGGCTGGGGTAGGGCTGCCTACTCTCCCCTATTCTGCCATTCTGGCCTCCTGGATGAGGCATTTAAATGCCCCCATCAGGGCCCTCTGCTCTCCACACACCCACGTTTATGGAATGGACCAGGCTTGTCGGTGGGAAACAGGTGACAGGCCACTTAGGAGAGATAGTGAGAAACACAGCAGCTCCAAATGCAGGTCTGTGATCTGCCTACTTCCTCTCCCGATCCTGTTCCTGATTTTCAGTCCACGTCTTGTTTTCAAAGCCAGCCTATACTCCCTTCCTACACACACACACACACACATACACACACATTCAATGGACGAAGCCTCGTGGCCACAGGGCAGCCTGTCCCTGCGCATGCGCTCGAGCTGGTGTGCCTGTCTCACCTCCCACTTGTCTACAAACTCCCTGGGCAGGGAACAGGCTCTGGATGGGGTTTGCATGTCCCTACAAACACGCAACACTGCAGTGCTCTGCAAACAACAGGCACTCACTCGGCACGTTCTGTGGCCCAGTGTGGAGCTCTGAGAAATCCCTGAGCAAGAGGACAAGATGCTCCTGTGTCCCGTCGCCTGCGTTTCTGTCTGGGGGCTGCCGTCAGGGCCCGGGCGCCTGGCAAGCACGGGGGCTCGGTGTCGCCCGGGCCCTGTGCCTCCCCGTGGGAGTCTGGACCCGGTTAGCCCCGGCCATGAATGCCGTTATTCAGCTCCAGGTTTCAGCAGCACAGTGAACTTAAGTATTTGGAAATCAATTTTCTGGAAAAGCACACACCTAACAACTGCCTATTGTTCCGGGGTGGTCGCCTCAGCAGCGCTGCTGGGGGGTCCTCCTGGGCCACTGGGTGGCAGAACAGGGTTGTGTTCTGGATCTTTCCACTGGGTCTTCCATACCCTCCTGCTCCACCCCAGGACGGAGGCACCGAGCCCTGAGACTCGGGCAGCAGAATCTCAATGGAATCTGCCAGGCTGAGGCTGCTGCCCCGTGAACTCTGCCCTCTTGGGACACAGAGTGAGATGGGCGTGGGGAGGCTGAGGACCCATCTCGAGCCGTAATTCAGCCGTTTTTGATTTCCGTCACCGGGGTGAGCACTGGCTGTTTGTGGACCACACAGCTGCCACTGTGCCAACTATGCAGAGGCCAGGGGATGGAAGAGACACTGGATGACCTCCGAGGGCCCAGCATGGGACAGCCATGCCCTGGCCAAGTTCTCCCAGCTGTCCACTGAGAAGAGAATGGGCATTGGTTTTTCCATGTGGGGTTAGTTAAGAGCCGAGAGTGGCCCCTTGAGGCCCTCTGCTGTCCTTGCCCTGGGCCTGGAGGGACAGGGAGCCGGCCCAAGGGCAGTCTCTTCCCCCACAGGGCTGAGACGGACACGCACTCCCACCCCCCAGCCAGATTCTGTGACGTCTGTCCCAACAGTGGGCGGCCAGTGACTGCATGAGCCACGTGGCGTATAAGGAGCAAGGAGGAACCAGGCTGTCTGAGTCACTGCTCTGCCTGCGGAGCTGACGTCCTGGGAGACTGGGGGCGACTTCTGCTTGCCAGGCAAGGACCTGAGCACGAGGCCCCCGGGGGGCTTACCTTGGGGGCTGAGCTGGCCCGTGACTGGCAACGTGAGACTAACCCTGATGATGCAACCACAAAAACAGCTAACACTAATTGAGCACTTCCTGCGTTCCTGGCTCTTTTCTAAGCACCTTATGTCTACATTGCAGCAGTGAGCCCCAGCAGCCTGACGAGACCCATTTTTGTCATTTCCTCATTCTGCAGGCCCAGAGAGGCTGAGGCACCTGCCCGAGGACACCAAAGGCTGACGGGAAGCCAGGACACCTGCCCAGGAAAGGGGCCGTGAATGTTGGATTGAATCTTTGAGGATCAGTGTCCTTGTCTGCTGGGTAAAAGTGGCACTGCCTCCCTTTACCACCCCACAGAATTCTAGGATGAGTCAGTGGGGTTCATAGATCTGAAACAGCTCAAAAACTGCAATTTAATACAGAAATGAAATTTACTACGACATCAGAAATTTGAACAAAACTGACGCATTCTGAAACGAGTGAAACTGCACCGCTGAGCACACCAGGCTCAGGAACCAAGCGTGAAATCCAAGTAAGACTAGCAATAAAAATGGCTCCTTTTTCTGGAGCAAATCTAAAACTCATTAATAGTCTACGCTTAATTTAGGATTTGCTTTGGAATTCTTACAACTTACTGAGATTTGCTTCTGGAAAGTTTTAATGGTGTTAATTAAATTCTGTGTAGGCCATTTATTAGACTCAGTGTCAGGTTTAAATTACTGAGCCCACTGGGTGGTGGTGCAACATTCACACACACACACACAATATACACCACACACACACACACAAATGTAAGGAAGGGAGAAACCACAGAACGTATGCATGAAGCACTTGGTATTCTGATGGTCAAACTCTGGGGGAACCACAGGCTGCACTTCTTCAAGAATGGAGCCTACATCACATCTGTGTATGTGGGGTACCAGAGCTGTGTGAACTTGGGACTTCCTAGCCTCAGTTCGCAACATGAAGGAAACTAACAGAGGCTGCAAAGGGTCATGACAAGCACCGTCATCCTCAGGTGCTCCTCCCGGTTGTGAGCTACCAAGATCACACAGACTTTTCTATCAATCCTGGGAAGTCCTAGAAATGTATTGCAAAGGTACAGGAGTCTGACACCACAACACAGGCAAACCAGGTCGCGGTATACCTGTAACCTAGGTTGTTCACTGGTTTCTTAATTCACTGGAGCTGCTAGAAGCTCCAGTTGCATCATCACTAGGGTCACAACTCACTGCTTGAGCCTGCTCCAGGAATGTTGGCACCGTGCGTCCCAAGCATCCCACACATACAATGCCGGTCGTAGAGTCACACAATGGCGCTGATTCTCCACCCTGCCCCGCGTGGCTCTGCAGCTCTTCCAGTCAAGAGGAGTCTCCTCCCACCCCTTGAATCTGGGCCAACAGATGCAGCAGCAATGATTTTGTGGCAGTTCTGAGCCTAGGCCTCAAGTGGTGTATGTACTTGGGTCCTGGTCATGGACCTGAGAATGAGCCCAGGCTAGCCCGCTGGATGACGATGGCCAGTGTGGAAAAGAAACCAAATGACCTGGTCAGCCTTATCTTGGGCCAACCTAAGAGCAGCCAACCCCCAACATGTGACAAAACCTATGCAAGATCTGCAAAGCTATGCATCCAATGTACAGCTGATCACAGACACGCGTGAGCCAAGCTAGCACCAGAGGAACTGCTCTGCGGATCCACGGCCAATAAACGCTACTGTTTTAAGCACTGGATATTGGCATGGTTGGTACTGCAGCAACAGCTCACAGATCAAAGAGCTACCCCCCTAGCCTCTCTCTTTCCCCTCCACTCTGTACATCCAGGTTTCAGGACCCGTGGCAGCCTGATCAGTTCCTGCACTTCAATTCCTGCCCAGGCCTACAGACCTGCCCGCAACACCAGCGCATTTCTGTAGGGCTCTAGGCCATCAGCTCATTGTAGCCCAGCTGCCCAAAGCTTTTAGCCCACACTCAGAAGCCCAGTTAAGAGCAGAGCCCTAATGGAGCAGCCACCAGCAATTGCCTCCGGCTGTGCCCTGGCCCCCAGCTCTGCTTGCTATCATTCTGTTTCTGAGTGCGGGCCTGGCTGTTTCCCCAACTTTCTTCTCCCTAGGCAAGATGCTCCACTGACACCCAGCACCAAGCTAAGACCCCAGGGGTGTGGCTGCAGGAACTGGTCCATCCCGGAGCTCCAGGCGACGCCCTCCCAGCCACAGGTCCTAGAAGGTAAGACAAGGCTTCTTGAGCCAACACTGCCTGGGCCCCCAAGGTGTGTACCCACCTGAGACGCATCCTGGGGGAAAACCGCATCAAAGGCAAACATCTTCGGAGGAACCTGGCTGCCTCTCTTCGGGAAGGCACCTTGCCCGCCACAAGTCAGGGGATCGTACAGGGTGATCTGCTTCTTCCGGGGGTCCACCTTGAGGAAGGAGCTGGATTCGGAGGTGTCCCGAGCCAAAGTGGAGCAAATGCGGAGCATGACCTTCACCTGTCGGGAAGCACGAGGGAAGAGGACACGGACTAAGGCTCTCCCGCCACGCACGGGAGCCCTCGCATCCTCGTGATGCCGGCACACGCAGCGCGCTGAACTTTCTCTTGATCAGTTATGAAGAAACGCACGAAGAACTGGCAACCTCCTCACTGGGCCACGGGAAACCTGATTTATTTATAATTAGCAGGTGGAATTCTTTTGATACGTCCATTGCTTTAATACCGAGATGGCACACGGTGTTCTTTGTCTTCCTGTTCATATAAATGGAAAATTAACGGTGCCCTAGTGGCCCAATTACAAAGATGAAGAGGTAATCAGGACTGCTAAGCTATAGGGGCTGGTGCTGCTCCCTCGAAGCTTACAGATCAATAAACCCCGCACATAAAAGTTAGCTCTGTAATTTACTCCTTGGCTCGGCTCATCAGGACTCTGGGAGACAAAAATCCACAGTTATTAGTGTCATCATTAAAGGCCTATAAAGTAGCCTGTTTTTAATGGCCAGCATTTGAAATGCGTTCCAAGGGGCAGCCGTGATAAAAGATGGGTCTGCAACATGTTATTTGGGATCCCATTAAGTGAGTGCAGAGGAATTGTCATCTCAGGGAATGAAAGCGCTTCTCTGCAGCCAACAGGAGGCAGTGCCCTTTGACCCACCTTCTGAGTAATTGAACGCAAGCATCTCCAGTGCTCACGCCCAGCCCAGCCCCGGGCCACTCCTAGGAGGGAGCCTGGGGCCTGTGGAAATGGAAAGCGTGCCTGACAAAGCTCAAGTGAGCATAAACCGAGCTGAAGCCGCGCACAAGGCTTTAGGCTGCAGGCCTGAGAAAGGAGCAACCTTTGCTTGCACACCAGTTCTCCTTTCCCATGTTGCCGGTTCAGTGCAGCCTGTGATGGGCACTTTATCTGAGCACCTACTATGTGCCAGGTAGGACGGATGCAAAGATCTGTGCAGTGCACAGGGCAGCAGGGCAGACAGAGGTCGAGACAGACAATTTCAGTAGTAGGAGGTGGCAGCTGTGGAAGGCACGCCCCAGGATTAGTTAGCAGCACCCCGCTGTGTCTTGCCCTCTTTGTCCAATCAGGTGTCAGGGCTGATGAAAACTGTCGTGAGATTTTGGGGGAGGAGGGGTGTGAATGCGTAAATCAAATGTCGCAAACATACAGAAAGGTTCAGAGAAGGACAGGGACTGTGTGTGATGGAGCGAAGTCAGCCTCCCGCTTGTCCCAGCCCTGTCTGCTGAGGCATGGGCTTAAGTGGCAGGGTGCAAAGCTGAAGGGGAAACAGTTCAGAGGTCCACGGAAGGAGCCGGGGGTGGCGTGGGGCTGAGCTCTCAGGGTTCGGATCTTGGATCCCCCGCTGTGAGGGCACAGGAGAGGCCTGCCTGTTTCTGAGGGGCTGTGCTGTGCCACGGCTGTGACCGTCATCAACACCATCACATTCTATCCCCCCACTCATCCCTGTGTCAGGGTACTGGTCTTTTACAGCAGAGAGAGCACGTGGCATTGAACTTCTCCCAGATCACTGAGCTACTGGGTGGCAAGGCTGGACTCTGGCCTCACCACGAAAGCCCCCTCTCTACCCATCACGCCAGCTGCCACCTCCCATAAACAGTCAAGCTTCTCAGAGCCTCAGTCTGCTCGCCCGTGTAACAGGAAGAACAATGCCAGTCTCACTGGATTACCGGGAGTGTCCAAGGAGCTGACACGGGCAGTGGGGAACGTGGGGCCGAGCACATGTGTGTGTGTGCTCGACTCCTGTTCCTCGTCTGTCCTCCCCCTGGCCTGGCCTCCCTCTGCACCTTCATATCCTACCACGTCCCCATCACAGGGCTCAGGAGAAGGTTCCAGAACCCCCACCACAAACCCTGGATACCATGGGGACCACTACAGATACCAGAGGGCTTCCAACAGATCACAGGAAAAAAATGGCATTAAAAGATAAGTTGACTTGGGTGCAGAAAAGTTTGAAAATCCGTGAACTTTCGGAAGCACCTGGTAGAGCTGGTTATTAAGCCCTGGGCCCATCAGGCTCCTGTTCCTGAAAACTGGCAACTTCCCACTGTGTGCCACTGCACACGGGACTGCCAACCACCATGAGGATCTGCAGCCCATTCTGGCCATTTCCGTGTTCGCTGTGACTTGCTCTGGTCAGCGTGCGTTTCCGTGCGTCTCCCTAGATGTGCCCGGTCACCCGGGAGGTGTGCTAAGAGCCTGTGTTCCAACAGCAGCCGCTGGGAGGTGCATCTCCCAGCCCAGCCTCCGAACGCTGCGAGTCAAGGCCAGGCAGAACTGATGGAGCCGCATGGCCCACCGCTTTTCTATTTCACAATTTGGCATGCAATTTCTGGGTAACGAGAGGTGCTGAATGTAAAGTATGAGCTAAGGCAGGCAGGGGCCTCCAGGAGAAGCAGGGCAGAGGGGGCTGCCTTAGTGACTCATTTGTCCAGGAGGCGCGCTCCTGCATCTTAATGAGGCTGCATTTTTTGCACACCAGCTGAAGCCCCAGCCGCCAGCCTGGCCAAGGAGATACACAGGTCTTTAAGATGCCCTTGAACTCTGGGCTGGAGAATATGCCACACTCCCTTCTTTTCTTTGCAGCTCATTTAAATAAATGGAGATTTTTTTTTCCCTTCCCACCCTCAAGGAAGGGAATTGGGTTTTTCTGCTTGAGCTCTTTTGTGTCATTGTTCCTTCAGTACAACACTCCACTTCCTGCTTAATCCTCCGTAATTCAAGTGCTTAGGAGAAACCACTTGTGATCCCCGGAAGTCTCTTGGACTTCTTGCCAGGAGGTCCTGTTTTGCTACCAACGCCATGAGGGTCTCGGCAGCATCTTCAGGCCCTCTCTTCCTGGCTGCTCTGTGCAGGGGGTCCGAGCAATTGATAATACACCCAGCCTTCTCCCCAGCTCTCAGGGCTGAGGGATCCCTGCTCTCTCACCCCCACAGGTGGGCTGGCAGGTTTTGTGATGCAGAAAGCACCAGAACAATCCAAGTTCCAGCAAGGAGGAGGTCCTGATGCTGATCCGGGCAGGAGGGGAGCTGCCTCTCCTGCACCACCTTCCCCACTGCCTGGGACCCCCCTTTGCCTCATTTGTCGAATTATCCAGCGGATGGTGCGAGACAGCTGTTGCTCCGGGCCCCAGTTGTTCGTACGTACTGCTCATTAATCATGTCCTCCCGGATGGCACCAGGGACTGCGGGAGAAAGCAACGGTGGGCGAGATGTCGCCGGGAGAGGCAGAGCCTCGCCATGAACTGCACAAGCACTCCATCAACACGGAGGCGGCCGCCGCCTGCCACACGGCCTTATTGGAGGCTAATGAGGAGCAGGCCCCGTCATCAGTCAGTGCTGCCGCAGCACACGGCCCTGCTGGCCCCGAGACACACAGCACAGCCACGCGGCGGGCTCCGAGCAAGGCCCTCCGTCTCCTGTCCCTGGACCCAGGGGCTGGCCAGCTGGGGGACTTCCCCAGACCTCAGACCGTGAGGCTCAGGGGGACTTTTGGCAAATGGGGCCACTTGAAGGATGCCTCACCCATCAGAGAAAGACCCCAGACGAGGCTACGGTGGGAGGAAGACGGCTCAGCGACCAACCTTGTGTGTGAGCTTTGCTTAAACTCTTCAGGAGGGCCCACATAACATAGATACATATAACATAACATAGATACACATAATGCACAGGCAGGCTGCTCTGGGACCTGTGTCCTGGGCACAAGAAATGCTCCGGGAAGTACACAGGTGATCACCAACACACTTTCTTCTACAAGGTTCTAGCAAACAGTGAAGTCTACCATTCACATCTTCTGATTCCTTCATGTTTCTATATTACATGTTGAAAGATTTATTCAAGAAGCAGAGAGAAGGAGAGAGGGAGAGACAGAGAGAAAGAGATCTTCCGTCCATCCACTGGTTCACTCCCCAGTAATAATAAATAAATAAATAATAAAATCAGCTCAGCAGGAGAAACCGGTCAAGATGCAGATGGGCTAATTTAATCACAAATAGCATGGACATCAGTTTTGTCTTCATCCCAGCAATGCTGGAATTACTTTAAGGCTTTCACATCTGTTGCTGAGTTCCCAAAACGTGTCTAGAAATTGTTCTCCAAGGTAAACCAAAAGCAAGTAAGATGGGGTGGTCAGGACCCACCAGCCGTGAGGAAGTGGGAAGAGTAAGAGTCGGAAGGGGTCCCCGCACCAAGGGGTCATGGCATGAGACAGCTCAGCCGGCCCGCAGCCCTCCACCCCAGGACCTGCTTCCTTCCCACTGGGCGTACGCAGTGACAGCAGCCATGGGAGGCCCCACAGTGGGTGTGAGCTGTGGAAACACTGAGCACCCTGACTCTCAGCCTCGGGTGAGGGGGAGCCAAAGGCTGGGTAAAAGACCACGGTGGAGGGGCAGGCCTGCCTACGAGGTCGGGGTGAGAAGTCCTGGGCCCTCGTTGGGATGCATCAGGAGGCCTTTCCTGTGTTGCATGGATCTCTGGGCGGGATTCAGCAGTGGAGAAACTTGCAAGGATAACAAAAGGGTGCATGGAGCGGGTGTCTCCTCACTGTAGGTTAGGGGAGAGGCGGGAACCAGGACCACTGAGTAGATAAGTGACGGAGGTGTGGGTCTTTGCTTTCTTATCTTAAACAAAGGCTCTGCTGTCCCACCTCCCTTGAGGACAGTTGTAAAAAACCAGAGATAAAAATGGACCAGACAGCAGCCTCCAGATATAACCCTTTGATACCTTAGGAAGAGTTGGGGAGAGAGGAAGGGAAGGAGACTGGGGTGGGGGGTGCAGAAAGACACGTGCATTCACTGTCTTCATATCCCCTCCTAAAGCAGACGTTCTGCATCTCATCAACAACACAAGAAGCCTCTCTCCTGGTCCTAATATTAAAAATCAAAGCACACACTTCAGTGAACAAACTCGTCCAGGACAAGCCAGACCAAGTCACCTTCCCACTCCCCCTGCCAGGATGAAACACACGTGGCCGGCTTCCGTTTTGGG